CTAAACATTCGCTGCATGATGGTGGCAAAGGGAGACCCCCCTACCGGTGTCTTCTTTTGAGGTGTAGTCCACTAATACAAGCCCCATTGAAAACAGTGTCAAATCAGCATTGTTTGGGGCCCAATAATATGCGTACCTGCATCCCTGAGGCATCTGAAACACACGGTAAATTATTGTAAGGTCCATAATCTGTTACTTTCTTTTCAGTTTTCTGTGGGTTAACCGATTACATTTTGAGTTATTTCCTCAAAACAAAATTGCCTCCCAAAAAGTGATTTTTCTAAAGTCTGCTACCGGCCATTTTTCAAGTGACAACCCTCAACTTTCTCGGGCACTTAGGACCATTTTTCAACCGTATTTTTTAGCCATTCTGCTCTCAGGTGAAAGCCCAAAGTCCCAGGGAGTTGATTCTGGCAAAGATGTACACAATTTCACCATTTTGGGAATCATACAATCTCCTTTTCAAAAGATACTGTGGGGCGCTTTTAATGCTAATGAGCTGGCCAGAAATTCTCTCTTGAATCAGTGGACTGCACCCTTTGTCTGGTACAGTAGGAATCTTGGGAAATCCTTTCAGATTTCTAGGGTTGATGCAATAGGTACAGAAGCCAAGGGTATAACTTATTAGGCATCATATGTGGGGGGTTCCCCCTCTGCCACATATTGTATGGGTATCCTAAAACATCCCCCTCCCCAGGGCAATTTGTCAATGCCAGTTTGTCTTCTTTAGAAGTTCAATCAGTTATTTTGCAGCAGACAGAGAGGAGTATTCCTGTCTTCTGTGGTGTTATGACAGGTGTATGACACTGAGGTCATTAGATTCATGATTCTTCAGAGATATAGTATAATGCATTTTTCATCGAATTGCACTGTTTATATGAATAAGTAGTTCAGGGAAGAAGCTCTTTGTGGACATGTGGACATTAATTCCATAATTTCTGTAATTGTAGCTGTCTCTTTGAGGTTGTTAGTGATGAATGTAATACCCTGGAAACATTCTTTATATACAAACAACTGTTTGTTTCCTGTGAAATGAATTAACTTGTCATGATAGCCATCAGTTTCTGCTCCTGCTTTCACTCATTCACCCCTTGATACCTTTTAAGGTATCCCTCCATTATTCATTACAACACTGTGAATTCAAAAGTGAAAAATGGCAGATGATAAACCTTCTATATTCTTACATGTAAGTGGAGTTCCGGCATGTATGGAAATGACTCCAAACATAGGAGAGACCTAGCGGAGGGTGTTGGCAGGATTACACCCCTCCCCCATCTCAGAATTCATCCCCACCCTCTCTCACCTCGCACCTCACACAAGGACGACATCCAACAGTAGTTTCATGTTGTGCTAAAATTTATGCTGAACATGATAAGGACTAAGCAAAAGAAACATTCACGTATCTTCCAAGATTAGTAGTCATAGTTGTCAAATAATGTTCCCAATGTTTCCTTGCCCCAAACTGTTCTACTTTTATTTAATATGGAGATGGAGTAACCTGTATATTTGAATCTAATTGACATTGCACACAGTTATCTGTGAATCAATCCAAAACATGAATCTCGGTCAGAATGGTTTTTAGAATAAAAACCATGGTTACTTCAAACTGTAGGACAGTATCACTCAGCACTCTACACATCCCGAACACAAAACGTTTTTTGCACGCGCACAGTTTTGAGACCGCTGACATTTTGGCAGGCCTTCCAATCCACTTCGGCTAATTCCTGATGTTAGGTCGCAATGGCAGAGTGGGTAATCCCATATCAATTAATCTCCGTCCATTTTACTAACAAGTGGAGTAATTAATTGAACACAGACATGCCAGACTGCATTACACATATGTCTTTCACGGTATTCCCTTCCACAACACCGCACCCCAACATTAATGCCATATTGTTTATAGATATGAACATGCAAGTGTCATCAGATGCTAGCCATAATTTATTTGGTAAGGAGATGAAAAGGTTAAAAAGGGCCACATTTTGAAATCAAATCTGTTTTTCATTGAAACAAAATTGTTTTTAAATACAGAAAGACCATAAGTCAGTAAATTTGAGTAATAAAGACAGCCCTCCGAGATTTGTGTGTACTTTCTTCTTCACAGCAAAGAATTAAAAACAATACAAATGAAATTACGAGCATGAAAAATGTAAACACCTTCCAAAAAACTACAAAGAAGATTCAAACTTGCATATAAATGTACAAAGATGATGTGGCTGTTTTCTTTGGAAATTTGAAAAATCGTTTAAGGACCTCTTGACTGAGTTCATAAAAGTTTAATGTTGACACAAAAACAGCTTGAAGTTAAGTGTGATTTTTAGCTGATCAATTTGGCTGTTTCTACAGGTCAGACCAGTTGGAAAATTAGTTTTATAAAAAAATTATTGGTTGGATCATTATCCAGTGTGTCACACTTTCCATGCAATATGGAGACATTAACTCACATTTACTTGATTAACATTTTAACCAACAGTTTTATCCCACAGTGAGCCAGTTCAACATTTCACCTGTGCATGCCCAAAATCAAGCACTTCCGAGGTCACTTGGTAACAGCAATACATGTACATGTATATGCACATGAGAGGTGTGGCCAATCAGCACAGTCATGTGCCAACTGGCACATGTTTTGTTCTCTAATGACTTTTCCGTTTTGAAATATTGAACTGGCTCATTTGCTGGTCGGAAACTTCACATGCTGACAAACGACACATGCAGTCTGGGCCATTGTGGAGTATTACTTAACTGTGTTCGTGTATCTTCACCATACCAACGGTGGATAACCAGCATGATGTGACAACCTGCACCTTTATACACCGTCATCCCCCCCCTCGTTGGAGCTTGCTTTCTGGGATGGAATATTTAAATTCTCACTGGGTCATGATACAAGTGCATAGTGCTTCTGATGCAGGCAGAAGGTTTGAGGGATGCACATTCATTTGTGGCCTGTTCTCGCAAAAAAGAGTAAAGTTGACATAGTATTATAGGGAAATTCATTTTCAGGTCTCCTGCGTTCACATACCCCTGCTCAGCCTACATATGCAAATTTCTGATTTGCCTATTACAATTCGCCTAAAAGACTTGATAAATGCAGTCTGCCCCTTGACCCTCCACAATGCACTGCGATCCTGCCGCCGTGTTCGTCCTTCTTTTCTCAGTGCCCATCATTTACGGATGTGTCTTTTATGGCATTTTCAGTGTTTCGAGTTCCATACCTTTCGCGTTTGTGAATTGACTTGATTTCTGTTTACGAATAAAGTGTGATTTCTTATCTATTGGTTTGAATGCTGGAGACTCCTCCCCCACATAAGTGTGGGTCCGGTCTCCTGGTGATACTTAGCCCTGCCCAGCCGCTTCCGCCCATCCTTCCCCACTTTGGCTCTGGTGGTTTCACCGCTTTGAAAAGAATGACGAACGTAGCGGCGGGATCGCAGTGCATTGCCGAGGGTCAAGGGGCAGAATGCATAATCAAGTCTTTTCAACGAATTGTAGTAGGCACATGGGAAATTTGCATATGTAGGCTGGGCATGGGTAAGCATCACTAGGAGACCTGACCCACAGTAGTGTGGGAGAGAAATTTAAACTTTGATACCGAGCATTCATTTATCTTTCATTTCTCAGATTTTAGGTCAAATCCATTATATGAACTTTGCTTTTTGGGGGGCCAGCATACAACAATGAAACATGAACAACAACATCTTGTGAAGTGCTCATACTGAAGATAGTATCACCAGTTTACTGTCTTCTCAGAATAATAAAAGAACGGAGCTCGGTGTACCAAAAGAGACAGTTGTAGAGAATATGAGAAAAATATAACAAATTTCAATGCCAGAAAAAAGGATTTATGACTTTATTTTATTTGTGTGGGCCACACCATATGCGCATATGTTGTATACCAGTCAACAGTGGTTCAGAAAGTTAGGTAAATGCATTTGCTGCATGCGTATTATTGCCATCAGTATCGCTTTAGGCACAAGGGTATTCAAAGTACGAATGACATTTGTGAAAAGTCATTGTTGTCTTTATACATCAGTGCAGATTTGTGTTGATCAGCAAAGATTCAGGCTTGCAACACTTTGTGTTTTGGTGATTTTTGTGCACATTTTGGCCATTTTCCTCCTTTAATTTGGACAAAAGCAACAAAAGGGTTTCTTGGGTGCACATGGGTGCAGTAATGGATAGCTGATTTCTCAGCTCTTTCTTCTGGCTGATTTTCATTTTTATGCCCCAAAACAAGACATTTCAAAACTAAATTACTATTTTTAACCACTTCTATTATGATGTCATTTTTAATGCAACATGGGCGTACTGGAGGCACAATCGCTTTGCCTTTCATGTTTGCCAAAATCTCATGACAGCTGTGGCTGTAATTACATATTTGAAAAAAAGGAAATGTATTGAATGATTTCCAGATGTCGTCGTCCGTGTTGTGCATTATGGCTGTTTTGCATTTAAAATGGTCAAGTTAACATACATGTGTACCCATTCACAGTGCATGTTGCAATGCATGGGATTAATGTTAGGCTCAGTTGTGGTCAGTTATGCGCATGCCGTATTGTTCCATTTTTGCTTGCCTAATGTATGTTCTGGTTTTTATGTTATGAATCTGTTTATATTTCTTAACTATACATGTAGATGTAGAATTACTGTATAATTTTACATATTTTGATAAAAAAGTTAATCACTAATCAAACTAGACAATCATTGTGTAAATTTGAAATATTTACTTTGCTCAAAATTTCAGAAAGTGAAGTTTGCAATAGTATGCTGTCACTAGAATTATGCTTTCAGTTTCAGTTCATAGCTGGCATCACATTACAAAAACAGTTTCATTTTTTTTTTGTAGTGGTTGGCATTATTATATTTGTATGTTATTTTGGGATCACAATATGTTTGTCACGTCTGAATTGTCCAAGCTGGCTGCAATACACTTGTACATTTTTTTTTTGCATAATTGTCGTTACTTCTGTGTCATAATCTGATGACTTTTTCTTATCTATTAGGAGCAGGAGACAATGCAAGCCCTGCCCAATCTCGCAGCTCCTCCAAGAAATCTAACGCCTCTAACGGCACACCTTCAAGTCATTCCACAACCCAGGCTCTGCAGGCGCAGGCTGAGAGCCCCAAGAGCGATGCAGAGGCAACGGTCAACGACCGGAAAAAGAAAGGCACGATCTTGGCGTTCCACACTGTTTTCAACTTTTCTGTCCTCATTGAGTAAAACATTCTGAGTATCAATCTCCAGTGCGCGTCGCGACGGATCAGATCTGATTTGGAAAAGGAGGGAAATAAAGATAACCAGTCAGTTTCATGTGTGATGTGCACTTGGTACCCACGTCACCTACCCTCGTTGGTTTTGATAAGAGATTTGATAGATTACAATGCACATCTGGAAAGGATCAGATATTATCTGAAAAGGAGGGATAAGCAGCATAAGTTCACTGTACAACTTCTTTTTTCCACAAAATCCTCATACCCTCAATGCTCATTTAAATTGCTCTCAGCTCAATTTTTTTACAAATATGAAGCAACTGGGAGGATTATGTATCACATTAATAATTTTCATTACCGAAAATGGGTCTCTCGGGAGGCATTTCCATAGGAAAGTGCACAAAATATTTCAAACTTTACCGTCCCATAATTCAATATTCCTTAATCCGATCTTAACCAAACTTTGCATGTTTTCCTTTTAGACCCTAACCTATCATCTCTCAAAATTTGGATGGTCAAATTTTTTCTCCTTTCGGTAGTTGGAGCATTAGGGAGACATTGAAATTGTCTCCCTAATGACCGATGTCTCCTAATGTGGAAAAAATGACCATAAAATGTCTCCCAAGTGACCTATTTGGAAAGATTTGTTACAGGCTGGAATGCACGAGAGCTCTCTGATATCTAGATTTATACCCAAGACACGTCAAATAAAAAAGTGGAGTCACAGTTAATAGGATGAACTGTGACAGGAATATCCTTCATCACAATTCATTTGATAAGCATAACACCTGAGTTGAGACTAAACTTGCATCTTTTGATGACTTGTAATAGATTGACTACAACTCTACCCACTTCTCTTCTAGCTGCCCCCACTCGTTTATTGTCCACACAAGATCTTTGTGGATTTTGAAACCAGCCAGTAGTTTTTACGAAAAGTCCACTTGTAAACAAATGACATTTTAAGGCAACAGTCTCCTCACGTTCTGTAAATGAATCCAGTCAAGTGTGTCTAACCAGTTCATTTTTGTTAAAGGTCAAGCTGTCATACTTTGGACGAATGCAAAAGTGAAGCGAACATGATGTCAAGCAACATTTGCAATGAAGTCTGCTCGAGATAAAATGTGTTCAACTCTTGCAAATTCACAGTGGGAATATTTGATCTAGCATCCCAAATTGGCAGTTGTGTTCGGTTTCTCACCGTGGTGTGAAGTGGCCTTGAATGCCCAACAACGAAAGAAACTGCAGTTTTCTAAATTGATTCTTTACGCCTTGACTACTGATCTCATTTGAGGGCATCAATTTACACTGACCACGTCACAAATCTGTGTCACAACCTATAATGTCCCCCCACCCCCCTGCAGACAAGGAGTTCAACAGAAGAAGCCGGTTTTTGCTGTCCATTCGGAAGAAGCGGAAGAAGAGGGGGAGGACCAGGAGCAGGGGCCAGGAGGACGGGAACATTCAGGTCACCATGGGAACAGGAGGGACCAACTACCCCAATGTGGAGAACCAGGTGGTGTACATGAAAGACATCGTCTGCTACCTGTCTCTCCTAGAGGGTGGGAAACCCGAGGACAAGCTAGAATGTGAGTGTAAAAATTGCAGCTCAGATGTTCTACATTTTGAATTTTTGTTTCAGAATTGTGATAGTGGGGATAAGGACACATACATATTTACAAGATGTGATTAGGGCAAGGGAATTCAATGAGGGAACTGGATAATGCTTAAGCTTGTTGGAGTTGGCTGGTTCAGGATAATGTACTGGTGTGGAAAGAATTTGTCAGTGTTACCAGAAGTGTTGTTGACATTGACAGTCCAGGAAAATTTGTAGTCTGCACTTTTCATAGCCAGTTTGAGGCTTTCTCTACTGTTGTGTGTTAACTTCACATTAACCCTAACACTCCTCAATCCCTCACCTGTTGGAGGACTGAGGAGTGTTAGGGTTAAAGTAAACATTCGGGATTCTATTTTACCTCCTGAAGTACCCCCATACACCCACCTATCACTGCCTCTGTCAGTAATACCTTGTTTTGATTGGTTTGGTCATTATTGCTGTGGAAGTGTTCAAATTTGTATTGTGTTCAGACCAAACATGGAGCTTTTGACAGGGAGTGGGTTTGGTAAGAGCTGTGGCACATCCTGCAAAGCCTTACTTCCCTGTTCACTGGTCTGAAGAGTACCACAGTGAATACGTCATCTGCACAATTATGTATGCAAAAGGCATTAGCACGAGAACCAGCGCATGAACCGACATGCACAGATACTCCATTGGTTTACACTACACTTCCTGGTTCAAATGATGTCACACTTGACGGTACTCTATAGACTTACAATTCTTCCTGTGTATGAGGGCATCTGTATCCTGCATGTACATGTACATTGGTTCTTTTAATTTTAGATCATTGCCCGTAGGTGTGTCTGGTGTATTCCTATCAGTGCTCACCTAGACAGTAGATGCAGATGTACATCTTTCCTTTGCACACCGATACATGGGCACCCGAAGCCTGGAAGGGAAATTGTCATCCAAATTTGTTATCAGCCGCCAATGAAAGAATGCCTTCCCCATTGCACCTGCTCCCCTCCCAGATCCCGAGCCCAGAATTGGCAGGCGGCAATTATGCAATCACGACCACGGATTTTGATCACCATTCTGGTTTCCGCCACATGACAGGTGCTGGAATTCTAAAAGCCGGCGCCCACGGCCATCGATTGTAACAGGATGGCGGGATCCCCCCTATTTCCCCTTCTGCTCTGTTTTGGTGCCAGCCAAGGCCATTAAGGTTATTTGTCCTTTGCAGGGTAGGCTAAGCTGGTTAGTTTTTCTCAAAAGGCATCTCTAGTTCCCATACACCTGATTTTGTTTTTTCAGATAGCAGAGTAACTCTCTGTGTGGGGATTTGCCATAGAAACTCAGGGGTTAAATGCGTTATAAACATCTAGTATAATGATGGGGACTTAGAACTTTGAGAACCCCGCCTCTTGTGAGAAGAATAGTGTAACATGGCCCAACACTCTTAACTCTGAAACTGCAATGGTATTTTCCTACTAGTTTTCTCTAACTCATCACTGCAATACCAGTTCTTGTTTTAAAAACTGTCCTTGACCCAACACTCTGCAGTGACAAGATGAAACTTTCTTTGAACCTTATAATATGCATAGGACATCTAGGGCTGTTCACTTTCAACACCATAAAAACACTGCCAGACAAGTGTAATTTGAAATTTGGACTCTAAATTCTGTCCGTATTGCCCATGCCTGTGTGGACAGCATTGGAAGACTTCTCCCTCTGGAGTCAAGATAGCCAAACCCTCAAGATAGGTTTTTTAGGGTCAGCTTGGTCTTTGTCAGCTATATGTTGCTGAAAATTAAGTCCTGTGATGTGGACAGCTGTGGGAAAGTAAAACTTACAGTGCTAGTCCAGGCCGTTGGGCCAGTGCATATCTGCTGCATTTCCCATTTTTGAAATCCAATGTTAGACTAAGTCAATATCACTGCGATTGGAAGTTTGAACTTTCCACAGGCCTTGAGTAATCCACGTGTGGATACCCAGGAGAATTACTATAATGGAATGGTAACAATCGCTCATGCATGTCGTAACCTTGAACAGTTTTCAGTCCAGTGCAAATGTGGTTGGGGGAGATTTTCAGCCTCCCAGTTTCCACATATTACCTTGAAACAGGTTACCAGCAGAAATGCCACATCATGCTAGTTGGTTCCCTGCTGTTTTCCCGTGTTTTACTGCGTCAATGATTTCAAGCAAAAGTAGGGTGCACTCTAAGTGACCCATTGAACACTCACTAGAAGTGTTCCATGTTTTTGCTAAGAAGGCAACATTTCTAAGTGTGAGGTTCAATGAAGCAGTGCTGTGGCATGACCATTTATTTTCCTGCTTACAGGTCTAAAGACAGTGTGCCACAATTGCCCTTGTCCAGCCAGTGAAATTATAACTACTCACGTTGAGTCAAAATTGTTTTCAGCTGTCTGGTGTTGATGGTGTGTTACCTGGCATGGTCTAAGGCTGTGTCCAAAGTGGGCTCCCTGAGCTCCGGCTAGGTCTATTGTCTACACGTCTCCACGCATTTCCAATGGAGCGAAGACCTAGACCTAGCTCTAGACAACAGATTTGGATGCAGCGTAAGAGTTGAAATCACAGACTGGTACCTTTTTTTCAGTCAACTTGTAAGGGCCACACTCCTCACATGTAACTGGCATGCAGGCTTTTCCTCTTTGGTGTCCTAATATAGTTTTCTCTTTGTTCCGTACCAGGCATAGTATGATAAAAAATCAATCTCACAATAAAAACATTCGAGATTTATTTACATGTAGTTGGTGCGTAATACAATTTTACCTCTTGCCAAGCACGTTTCATGTTCCTCCCACCTACATACCTTGCCATCGTTAATGAGCAGTGGACCATGTGACACGCACTATCTGTCCGTCCGCACCCTGTCAGAGCAAGGCTCCATAAATCCCGATTAAGCTGTCAATTTGTGGCCAAGAGCTGCGGCCACAAGGTTACGCTAACGTGATTGAGCATGTGTTTGCCCAGATTCTTGGGATACTTCCTATGCCAGTCTCATCAACCTTAATTACATATCATCATTGTCCTTTGGTGGTTGACAGATGTGGACTCTACCAATTAATTTTGGCTTTGCCATTGGTTTTTTTGGGGGTGGGGTTTCTACCATAGTTGTAAGGCATTTACATGCAGTCACATTTTCAAAGGTCACAAAAGGTCATCTTTTGCAACCTTACTCCATAAATATTTGAATAATTTGTTTTTTCTTTCTCTCTCACCTTGGTTGACAGAGTTACATATGGAGTTATATCATACCAGTGTCGCCAATATGCTCATATGCCTAATGCCAAATTCACCACATGTACTGTCAGCATTTCAGTGTTATGTGGATGACCCAGATTCTACCTTGAAAAGAGAAATTCAGAGCAACTTTCCCTATTTGAGAGGTTTTTTTTGGTGAGAGACCTCTAGGGCACTGAGGCAAAGACCATAATGTCTGTTGCCTGTATGCTGGGGCTGATAAAGCAAAAAAATATTGGTTGTTTGCCTTCCAGCTGAAATCATGGATGACCTACTTTGAAATAATGTAGAATTATGAAGGAAAAGTGGGCTGATTTGCATCAACAGAAATGTACATGTGTACTCCTAAATGTGGTATTGTGCTCATATTTAGTTGATGTATCTTTTGTTTCAGTTATGTTCCGACTTTACGACACAGACGACAATGGAATTCTTGACAGTAGTGTAAGTGATGGCATTTTGTGATTCCTGATGAATAAGACCACTGGGGAACAAAAGGTCCATGCATGCTTGCACCAATCATTGCAGAAGAAAAGCATGTCACAGTGTTTAAGAGGGAGAGCTTTGTGTGAGGATAACATTGGAATAGTGTTCTTGGCTTTGTGGTAACACTACAGAAGCTAAGTTCTTCTGTAAGGTGTGTGGTTCAAAGAACAACCAGTTGGTTTAACTCTGTTAAACATGTCAAGTAAAACCAACTGGTTCTTCTTAGAACCACACAACTAAAAAAAACTGGATTATCCTCCATGGGTCCATTCCGTCAAGGACCAGTAGTTGTTTAACCAGCAGTTGGTGTGGTACTCAATTAGTGCATGTGTAGTGAAGTTGAAGTATGAACAACTCTAACAGGCATGCAACCTTTTTTCGGATCAGCTGATTTCCTCATTTTTCACTACACACTCATGCCATTGAAAATTGAAAAACATTGTACAAAGTCTTGTCAAGATTGGAATTTCCTCATTTTTATCAAAGTCCAAGTTGCATGCCTGCTCTGGTCAAAACTGTTGTCAGGTCAAAGAAGGGCAAAGTAAAAAACAAAAATAAAGTGAAAATGATCGTTGACTGTTGCTGACATGCATCGTTTTCTCTGCCATTTTTTCTAATAAGTAAATGCCTAGTTCAGACTGTCATAGCAGAATTGTGCCATCAACTAAATTATTCCTGAGATTTGTTTGACGCATGAAGCAATTAGGAGTGATTCTTTACTCACTACGTCCAAAGATTGACTGTCACAGTGGTTTAGAATGATTCTGGAACAGTTTGATTTCATTTTGCTCATTTTGGGAGACAAACGCAATATAAACTTACGTAAGACACTATGAATCCCACAGTCCACTTGCAGATGTGGAGCTCTCGGTGTCAAGGCAAACATGGGTGAGCATTGCAAATGATGAGGATGATGTAATCATTTGGTTTTCATTGAAATTCTATATGTTACACTGACAGAAATTTACGGACAATTTCTTATCCATGTGTTTTTGAAAAATTATCCACAATGCAAGTGTCATTTCATCAATATGGCTGTGGTTTTACATGTTGGCTTTCAAGTTCATTTAATGTCCATATTTAGACAAAAATAGTATCTGCGATACATATTATTTTATCAATATGGCCTTGTTTTTCCTTTGCCAGAATTAAAAGTCAGGTAATGTCCAGATGTTTACAAATATTGTAGAAAGAAATAACAGAACAAGGATCGAAATGATTACATGTATGAATTTTAATCTCCAGCACTGCTTGTAGATTGAATTGAGTACACCTGTCGAAAACTAAAATCTGTTAAGATCAACTCAAGTCGCTCATTGGTTTGATGTGACTCCAGTATGCCAGTCTGAATGGAGGGTAATTTTTTCTCAGTCATGTAAACTCATCTATTTCCAGAACTAGTATTGATTTTATTCAACGACTGGCAAGGGTCTGTCAATAAAATCGATATTTCTTCAGCATTGATACAGCTGGTGTCAAAGTATTGTCATATAGAATTATAAAAAAAGTCAATGTTGGAAATGATATCGAAAAATATCAGAAGGGCACCTGATCGACAACAAAATCTGTGTCTATTTTAACCTAGTTGTGACATCCACTGTAAAATGAAATACACCTCACAGAGACATCGTATGCCAAATATCAGAAATATTGCAAAATGTCAAACGACGACATCTTGTGCTCTTAGTAATCACCGTCCCATTGGAATTTGACATCTAATCTTGTGGAAAATCTGAAACATAATTGGTTCAACAATTACTTGGCTGTTTGGAGTTCTGTATTGCAGTCCCCATCTCAGCTTAGTTTGTAGTGGTAGTTCATATAGATTCCAAGAAATGTGCTTTTATTTGGGTAAGTTGGTGAAGAACATTAATATCCTATCAACACTGACACCGGAGTCTTCCGGCGTGTAACGAATGCTGTCATTCTAATGTTGAAACATGGAGTACTTGTTTTCCAGTTTCTAAGAATTCTGAAAAATGGTTTTGCAGGAAGCAGCATTCAAGCCACTGCCTATATTTATATTTTTGGATTAATGACACACACTCAGTTGGCATATCAAACCCCTAGCTGCTGATACGCCACTTGTACTCACCCTGGCTTGCTTGATATCAGGTCCTGTATTTAGGTGTTGTGTTGAACATGAGGGATGATTGATACATCAGTTATACTTGATAGTGGATTTCCTACGTATCAATAATGGGATAAAATATACTATCAATGGATCTTACATCCACCACATCAAAAGTTATTTAGCTTTTATATACTAGATAATTTCTCAATGCATCTACTTCTGTCCATAGAAACACCAAATTATAAGGTTTTTCAGATCACATCTCATACATAAAATGCATGTTTTGATGTTATTTGGTCATAATGTTTTAGTAGAGGTTGTAATCAGACAAACAGAAAAAACTGTGCTAAAACATAAATTGTTGTCTGTCAACAGAAAGAAATCAGACCAAAACTTAAGTGAGGCCGCGACATTACGACCCCGTCAAATTTATGCCAGGTAGAGGGAACTACAGTTGCTTTGTTTTAAGTTGTGTTTTCTCTTTTCTGTCCATTGGCATGGCAGGAGTTGGACTGTATAGTAAACCAGATGATGCACGTTGCAGAATACCTCGGCTGGGATGTCACCGAACTAAGACCAGTAAGTCACACGTCATTAGGTTTTTTGTTTTAACATGGACTTTTTGGGACTGGATTCCTGAGAAAGTAGCCAGAATGGTTGTTGAGAGTTAAGGATGGGGTGGTGGGTTGCTTGCCTGGATCCAATACTGTTGTCACCCATTCAACCACCTGCAGTATCTTGTGGTGTAAATTTACAGAAAGCACTTGAACCAGGTACAACGTGGGAACCAAGGGTATCCGTAAAAGAAAACCAACCACAAAATTTGAAGAAAGGAGAAATAAAAAAGACTGCATAAAACTTTGTTTTCCGAAGTCAGTTCTGTCTTATCTGCAATGCACATCAACAGCCTTTGCACATAGCATTAGCTGTAATCTATTGAAAACATGTAAAAAGTCCACACAAAAACCTGTTAAAACTTTTATTTTTCATTGTCTGAAGAGTTCCTTAGTAATTCCGGAAGGTACATGTTGCTGTAAGTACCTGGTCCCATGATTGGGAACTAGTTCCTGGCATCAGCAGTCTGGTACCGTGTTGTGATGCACACCCCCAGTGTCTTTTTCTCTCCTTGCACATCTTCTGATCAGGTAATTGTTACATCCCTGAGCCTTCAACTCTCTGTTGGGATAGTCATCTCACTGTCTTTACTCTCTATCTCCTAGATTCTCCAAGACATGATGATCGAGATAGACTACGATTCCGACGGCACTGTGTCTCTGGAGGAGTGGATCCGGGGGGGAATGACCACAATACCTCTGCTTGTTCTGCTAGGTCTAGATACAGTAAGTCAAATCTACAAATTTTCCGTGTGTGTATTTTGTGCATCTTGAATGAAATAAAGCCTAGAAATATTTTAAATGGTTATACAGAGCATCCTTGCACGTTTTTGTTTGTCATTTTTTCCTTCCAGGTTTTAGGAAGAATTCTGAAGAATGGAATGTCATCAAAGTCTAAACCTTTATCACTGTTGCATAGAAATGGACAAAGTCATTGACATATTTGGGGAAAATTTTGTTACACAATCAGCTGGAGATAGAGTTAGAACTGAACATTTTAAAAGCTAGATATTTCTGTGAGCATGGTCCTTAGAATTTTGTGTGCTGTGACTATCCTCAGGAGGAAAACTGACCGCAGGTAAGAGCAGCTAACTGAAATGTCACACGCCAATGCCTCAAGTTATCTGACCCTTTTTTTCTTGTAGAGCTGGGGATTTCACACTGTGCTTCCTCAAACTTTTCCCTCTTTGAAGATATCCTCATACAAAGCCTTAAAAACACGATTTTGTGTGAGAATAGAAAACAGATACATTTTTCAAAAGGACATGAAATGATCAGTTACACTTCACTCTGATCTAAGGATAATTCACTTGAACAGTTTTATTTACATGCAAGCAGAATTCTTGCAGGTGAAATAGTTACTGTTAATATGTGAAGGTAATATCTCACTTGGTGAATTTATCTGTTCTTGAGAGTTACATTATCTTTTCTGTCTTATCTTTTCTACAAAGAATGTAAAAGACGATGGGAACCACGTATGGCGGTTGAAGCACTTCAGCAAGCCGGCCTACTGCAACCTTTGCCTCAACATGCTGGTGGGACTTGGCAAACAAGGCCTCACCTGTACCTGTGAGTAATGGTCAGCCATCCATCCTCATTTGGAGATTGCACTGATCAGTCTTGGTTGTGGATTGGAGTCAACATACGGGGGGAGGAGTTCAAATCTCTTAGAGCAGTGCAGAATGTAGCTGAAACTAGACAATATTCACCTAGCCAGAACAGGTTACCGGCTGAAGTGACATGTGATTGTATATTGCTTGTGAGGGTTACTAGCTGATTTTTACTTGGCAGGAAAATTTGCCAGCAATGTTCTCTGCTGTACAGTAACTCAGAAAAACTCTAGCACTTGGA